ATAAAAACAACTGCCTCTATATCTAGAGAGCTAGAGCGAGAGCTAGAGCGAGAGCTAGAGCGAGAGAGAGAGAGAGCGAGAGACACAGAGAGAGAGAGAGAGAGACAGAGAGAGAGACAGGGAGGCAGAGAGAAACAGGGAGGCAGAGAGAAACAGGGAGAGAGAGAGACACACAGAGAGAGACAAAGAGAGGCAGAGAGAGACAGAGAGAGAGAGAGACAGGGAGGCAGAGAGAGACAGAGAGAGAGAGAGAGACACAGAGAGAGAGAGAGACACGGAGAGAGAGACACGCAGAGAGACACACGGAGAGAGAGACACAGAAAAAAACAAAAAAAACGAGAGGAGGTATATAAAAAAAAAGAAGGGGGGACGGGGGGGAGGGGAGGGGTATTAAAACTGGCACACACCGATGCAAATCTGTCTATTTTCATGTACACGATGCCAAGGGCTTGGGCTTGGGACGATCACCAAAGCTGGCCTGGATGAAGATCATCATGCTCTCGAGCTTCTCACCTTGGGATGTGAACGTGAAAAACTTCAGATCATGGCAACGGAAGAACCCAGAGAGTGAAAGACCAGAAAGTCAGAACCGCCAGGCCCGGCGGTGCACACTTGGGGGAAAGACTCAGGTCGAAACTTCTTGCCAGCTGTGCTTTTCCATGGCAGGAGCAGTCAACACCCACTCACAGGAGACCCCCCGAGACCACGAAGAGACCAGCAACACGGCAACAGCAGAGCCAGGATACTGCCAAAACGCCTTCTGGCACCCTCTGTAAATCAAAAAAAGGACGCCGACGCGCAGTATGCACGGTGCCACAGCAGGGCCCTAGGCAAAGGATGAGGAAGCCAGGCCCAGGCGCAAGCCATAGTCAGGAATAAGAGAAAAATAAGCTGCTCCTGACTGCGACTTGTGTTTACGACTTGCGACAAAGCGACTCAGCCTCGGAGCTGCCACTGCGGTCTGGCAGTGTTCCGGAATCGGCTGTTCCCGACTACGACTCGGCTAACCCTTCCTTTTTTAAACGACGTGACGATTGTCATGCGGGAACCAGATTTGCACCATTTACTGTGAATATCTGTGAACACTAGAACGCAGAGTGGCCTTTTTTCGAGCACGCGGCGCCTTCCTGAGACGTGTTCTTCCTCAGTCAACAGTGCTGTAAGCACTGTAAGTGCAAGCTTGTTCACTTGTTGGTTCCACGGGCCTTTCGATGTCGCTGTGTGCTCAGATAGAAACACCGAGCAGGAGGGGCAGGCATCGAAAGCAGGTGTTGACGCATATGCCTGTGCTGTCAGACAGTCTCATACGAGCCCCATTTCGCGGATGCAGTCGCGAATCCACAAATTCGCTGTGGGGACTGTCAGTCCGAGCCCGTCGCCGCATTTCACGATCAAGGAGTCGGGCTTGTAGGCTTGCTCCTGGCGAGCGAGGAAAACAGGCGATGCCACAAGTTTGCGCCTTCCGCCACCTTGAGGAGCACGGCCAAGCTGTGGAAAAAGGATGGCGGACCTTTGCAGGAAGGGCTCGGAGAATTGCGTTGCCCTGCGTCTTCTGATTCTGGGTCGCCGCACAGCCCCCAAGCAGCGGAGTCTGTGCCAAAGCTGGGATCGCTGTCGTCTCACGCAAAGAAACCGCGCGAGAGACCACACTCTTCAGCATCCCTCTCCTCTCGTCTCTCGGGGGCGCCCCCTGTGCCTTGATCCACTCCCGCCGCTCCAGCTCGGTGCTGCGATTCTTCAGCTCCGTCCTAGAAGCCGCCAATCCCCTGATTCGAACTAGCACACAACCTCCTAGGCCGCCGACCGCTTCCAGATCGTTGCCAACTTGTCCTTGTCCAACGGAAACCTCGCAGCATCGTGGCGAAGCGTGTTCGGAGAACTTCGATGGCATGAAACATGTTGCTGCTACTGCCAGTGCCACATCAAAGCGAGCGCTCTGCTCGTGCCGTCGGAATAGTCCTAGTCGTGCCTCCCTCAATGTGTTTCTACTACTCCGGCTGCTCTTCCTTGTTGCCGACCCAGTTCGTCAAACGTATTCATACAAACCTCAGTACCAACAGCTAAATCACAATGTTCCCTATCATCTGCTATAGCAGACATCATCATAATCATCATCCTCGGCCAGTATCATCAACGGCACCTTTTCAACTGTAGGGTTTGTGTCTTTACTACATTGTCACTTGCCGGACAGTTAAGGCTTGTGATGCTTTAGCAGTTTGGGCTTTTGGCGACGGGAGTCTTTGTATTAAGTGCTGGAGCTCAGGGTTTGCGATGCAGGGACGGCTCTTAGGCCTAAGGCCCTCTGGCTCTTGAAGCCTTGCAAGCTTCGTCACTGGACCACCTACACACTGTGGTTCCGGCGCGAAGGCCGCCGCCTTGACAACCTCGGACTCTCCCAGACCCAGAGCTTCGTGCCCTCACACGAAACCCGAACTCCGGAGCCCCAATGCCAAGACGGCCCTAGGATCGATCCTGGTCCTGTCATTGCAGGGAAGTAAGATATGTCAGATAGAGAAAGATAACTATTATTTAATACGATATAACACAATATAATCTTACATATACATACATATGCATATATTATGTTGATATGCGCCACGTGCTCGGCTCGCACCGCTCTGAGGCTGCCAAGCTGCAGCGCCGCGGAAGCGGAGGCAGCAGACCAACCCCTCCTGAGAAGAGACAAAGAGAGGGAGAGTCGGAGGTAAAGACAGAGAGGGAGAGTCAGAGACAGACGGAGAGTTCAGGGCTGACAGGTATCCAGCTTGAGGCTTGGAGGGAGGGTTAAGGGAACCCACCCAAGCACGCGCACCTCCCAGGTGCGAGCACTGGCCGTCCGTCGTTTTGAGAGGCCGAAGGCCCCCACCTCTCCGAAGACCTCGAACCAGAACAGGGCAAGAGCAGAATAGGATAGAATCGCGCGTTCATGTCGTTCAATAGGAACAGACAACATGGATCCGTCGCGGTCACCTAGTCCTCCCTCGACCCTGTGGCTCCGCCCTTGCCTGACCAGCGCCCACGGTGCTGAAGTGCGTGCCAACCTTTCGATCTTTCAATCTCCCGGCTTTCGGACCCGAGCGCACCACCTAGTGCACTGGGCCAACGGCTGCGCCCTCGACCTTCACCCGTCCGGCCAGCACCTGTGACGAAGCCCCGGCCCACTCGTTGCTTCGTGTGCATGCCCGTGAGCCCGGCGAGGTAAAAGTCGCTCTGTCCAAGTTTACACTCATCGCCCTTGGCGCTGTGAGAGCTGTCAGAGCTGCCGCAAGCGCACGGAGCGCGTCGGCTTCGACGTCGGCCTGTTCTGTGATGAGGCTGTTGGGAGGGAAGAGCACCACGTCCGGCAGCCTGGATCGGCGAAATCCCTCCAAGGCAGGGGCGGGGAGTCGGGGAGGCTGAGCCGAAGACGTTACCAAGGAGTTGGCAAAAGCCGGCGCGGCGTTGCGGAAAGACCAGCTGCGCTGGAGCCTGCTTCAGGCTGCTAGATGCCGCGAGCGATGTCGCTGTGGAGTTACTCGCTCTGCCCCCGCCCCGGAATCCCCCAAGCCTCTTTCGGAGCTGCGTCATGCCGTAGGGCTGTGCCTCGCTGCGAGGGCGAGGGCCATGTCGGCACAGCGGACGCTGCCGGGTCTCGGCGCGCCTCCTTCACCAGGCGCTCCAACCTCAGAGCTCGAGGCCGTCCCGGAGAGAGAGAGAGAAGGCACACCAGCACCGCTCCGCGCCCTCCGCTCGGAGCGCCCTGTGGGCTCCCATTTGGGGCTCCCGGCAGCTCCTTGTCCCGGCCCGAGCGCTCCGCCATGGCCTCGAAGATCTCCTTCCGCCGCAGCACCTCCCGCCGGAGCCATGGAGCCGTGCGGAGCCAAGCCGCTTCCCGCTCCGCTTCCCGCTCCGCGGCGCGCGATCGCCGGCGATATCTCTTTTTCCAGCGCGGCGGCGCCTGAATGAGGCACACGCTCTCAGCCACGATCCTCGCCGGGTAGAGCCTGCGAAGGCTCTGACATGGCTCTGACCCGCAGTGCAGAGCTAGCAGACCTACAAGCAGACTGGCATTCTGCGAGGACCTGGTTGCTCCTGCGAAGGCGCCCTCGCCGATAACCTGCCGCGGCCCGCGGTTGCTCATGAGCCCCTGAGAAGCCAGTCAGAACGTTGCAAAGTGCCTCGCCGTGTCTCCAGCTCCGCTCGCCGGTCAAAGAACCTCTGCTTTTCGGAGACATACCGAATCGCGAGGTCGCAGCGAGGTGTTTCCGAGGGTTCCGACTGAAGCAAGTGGCCAAACCATGCAGGAAAACGTACATCTCCTCCCCATGCGCCAAGAGTCTTCAGAGGGGTCTTCAGAAGAGCTGCCGCTCCGAGTGTCCTGCACGAGATCGTCCTGGTTCTCTTCATCATCGTCATCCTCACCTTCCTTGGACTCCTCGATGATTTGGAACCTTGAAGAAAAACGGCAGATTCTGACGACATGGAACAGCTTCATGGGCCATGGGATGCGTCAGGGAGGAACTTCTCCAGCGTCTCGGTCTCCTCCATGTCGACGTGGCGACTCACCACCTCGTTCACAAGCGAGTCTGGCCTCAAGGAGACGAGGGGCCAAGGCTCTTTTTTGGCGACGTCTCAGCATCTTGGGACCTGACACGATGTCGCATCCAGGCTCCACGATCCTCGGACACTCGAAAGCAGGCGCCTTCTGCCAGGCCAGGATATCGAAAGGAAAAGGGTGCACACAAGAGGGACGGAAGACTTTTGTGTCATTTCTACATGTTCTAAGCAGGCTAAAGGCCAGAGATCCCAAGATTTTGACGGTTCTCTGTGTGATGATTGGCAGTTGTGGAAAGGGAGGGCACGGCAAGAGGCAGTGCCATCTTCCGGCGAGGGGGAGCAGGAGAGGAAATTGCATGCCAGCCATGTTGATCATTTCTTCCTTCACCTGTCCTCGTCTCGGCCATCTCACGAGCTAGCCTCGCAAATTCTGGCGAGACCTCAGTGGCACTCGTGTTTTGCTCGATGTCGCCGCTTGACACTTTGCTGAGACCGCGACGGCCGAGAAGAACGCGGTCTTCTCCTGCAGAAGGGCCGGGGACCCAGGCCTCCAGCGCACCAACACCGTCGCTTCATCTCCCCAGAGAGAAGCGCAGTTTCCGAGACGGCGGCGGATAGCCAAGGCGCTTTTCTGCCTAGCGGAGGCGAGCGGCGGGAGAGAAAAGAGGAGCGCGGGCCGCTCGAGGCCTGCTCGCCCATGTAGCGGAGGATGGAGCCCCTCACTTTGCCCAGGTCGCTTGGGAACTCGGCCATCACTTTGCCCCAGGTCTCCCGGGTCACCACCCGGACCTGGCTCCCAATGCGAACCGAAAGTGCTAAGATGCTAAGAGGATTCGCACCCGTTTTTTTGCATTTACGAGCACCTCGCAGAAGGTGATGGGAACCAAGCGTTCGGTCTGCTTGGCTCTGGCTCCGGCTAGGATCTGAGAGGCGATCTCAAGGCGCAGAGAGGGAGAGAGAGATGCAGCCCGAAAGATAGGCAGCCGCGGCACGCGCTCGTTCCAGCAGCAGCCAGCCGTCAGAACCTGAAGCTCCTCCCCTGCCGTGCACAGACACACGTGTGGCGCGCTGTGAATGCTATGCCAGCTGCAAGCCACCCGTCACCCCCCCTCGCCTTCTTGCGTCAGCACCGATATTTCTCCGTCAAGTACCAGGATTGCGGCCTTCGGAATAACGACCCGCAGCTCTGGCTTCATCTCGCCCCGTGCGCACTTGCATGCCTCATTCAAAGGCGCTTGGCCAAGGCGCTTGTCGCCAGCTTCGCCTCACTGCCCGAAAACACCCACCAGTGCGTTCAAGGACAGGAAACGAAACTCAGCAAGGGTCATGAGAACTTCTCCGCATAAAGATCCAGCAAGTAAAGCAGTCTCGAAGATTCTCCTGACCGCAATTTTGTCTAGATGGAAAGATGAAGCTGAATAAAGATAACTGTAAAAGAGGATTCGGATCTCCTCTAAGGCAAGGCCAGACCACCCGGGGTCCCTCCTTCTGACCCTCCAGCATGTCAGTGCTGAAGCGCTCCTAAGCGACCCGGCTTTCCTTCAGCTCCCACCAACGATATCATTCAATGTGGCGCACCTTCTCTTCTGGGAACTGCTCCAGAGCCTTGAAAGGAATGGGTCCAACGCTTAAGGCACCATGCCAAGGGTGTCTGCATGTGCGCCTGATGAAAGACCGAGGATTGGATGCTCATCAGGAAGCAGAGCGTTACCTGACCACAAGGGTTTCCATGCAAAGGTGCTCTCCAGTCCACACGGGCAGTCCGCCGGAGTGCTGCAAAGATGCGGCTCGGATAGTCACAGCACGCTCCTTCGAACGGCACACACGCGACTCCCAATAGCTGCGAAAGCTGAGAGGCGTGCAGGCGACTGGCCCAACATGGCCAGCCTTAAACCCACGCACGCCGCACAGAAGCTCGAAGCCTGCTCTGCATGCTCTGCTCTTCGGGAGCCGGGCTCGCCAAAGGTCGCCCCGGGCGAGATGCGGGCGATGGCGCAGCCGCCGCGCTCAGCAACGACGATGCCGCCTGGTACACGCAGAGCTCTCAGAAGGCAGCTTAGGCAGCTTGCCTTCAATGTGGCACTCTCACTCTACCACTCCCCGCCTGAGAGCACAAACATGCAAGGATCCTGCTCGACGCAACCCTCGACGACCACCGTCTGCCCGTGCCTTCTCAGTGCGGCGCGCAATCGGCAGCGGCTCGCAACGGCGCGAAGGCGGCTCGCAAGGCGCGCAAGGCGGCTCGCAAGGCATAAGGCCGGCGCAAGTACATCGCAGACGTCACACGGGCGTTCAAGGCTTCCAGAAAGCCCGTCCTGCGAAATGCACCCCCGCAACTCACCAGGAAAGCCGCAAAAGCCATTGATCTGCGAGGCACCCGCAGGCCCGGAAGAGCTCTACATGGCGAACCTGGAAGCTGAATAAATGAGATACGAGTAAGGCAGTAAGGATCTCCTTCTGCAGCTTTGCTCCCGCCGCACCTTGCTGCCCGAGATGCGGCCACCCTGTGGGGACGTCTTCAGCTTCTCAAAGTGCTCCTGAAAACCGGCGGACTGGTACCCTCGAGAGCTCTCTTCTCCCCTCGGCACGCGCCGTCTCAACAGGGTGCTTCTTGAGGGCCTTGTGCAGAGACGGCCTTTCAGAGAGAGAGAGAGAGAGAGACACCACAGCACAGAAGGAGAAAACCCCAGAGCTCACGCTGAACAGGGGGCAATTGCTGCCTGGCAATCGCCAGGACAAGCGCAAAGGGAGTGAACACCTGAAGAAAGGCAAGAGGGCTCAAAAGTCTTTCTCAGCTTTTCAACGTTCAGTGCTATCTCCAGGCCCCGCACACGGACTGTAGCATTCGCCTCCTTGGCAATGCCGATCAGCGTCCGCTCCTAGAAGCATGCACAGAGCCACGCCAAAGCGAGTCAGAGATGCAGGCAACGAAGTGCAGGCAACGAAGTGCTGAGGATCAGACACCGAAGCAGTTTCCGGCCGGAACTTCGTTCACGGTACCAAGCCCAGCGATCTGAGCTACATGGGACCGGAACAGAGGTTGAGGAAAAAAGCACACCATGCTCTCTAACTACCGTTTCTTCGTCATCCTGTTAAGCTTTCGAACTCCACAACTTGAGCACAAAATCGCTCCCGGCGAACCTGGATGCTCACACGGCCGTGCTCCAGCACAAAAAGGGTCCCGGCCTCAGATTCGTGCTGCAGTTGTCACAAGTCTCCAGTTCTTGTTTCCATAGGTAGCAATCCACTCTGCAACTCGCCTCGGAGCCGGAAGGTCCCTCAAAATCTTTGCATCTTAGAGCTTCGGCTCGAGTGGTGCTTTTCGTTGCTTGGCTCCGAGTTTTCCCGCCGCCCCACCGGCCAAGGGGACGCCTTCCTAGGCCGCCACTGCGGGCTGCTGGGCTGAGCTTGGTCTCGGGCGGTGCCTCCCTGCTGCACGACCGTCTCTCCAGCGAAGAGCAGTCGCCGCTCCTGATCCGCAGGAAGAAGGGAAAAGGGCAAAGTCTTTCCTCGTCTTCTCTCGGGTGCAGGCCCCGCTGCTCGCCACGTCGTTCACGAAGCCCAGGTCACAGCCGAAGAACAAGTTCAGCCTCAAAGCCATCGATGAGCTCGGAGCAGAGAGACGCGGAGCAGAGGGGCCCGGGGCCCCGAAAGAGGACTTGGGCTCCGGATCTAAGGAGCGCTCGAGCTGGCGACCTCCGTCTTCGTTAACAGGCGCTCCTCAAACGCCCAAACGCCCGCTTCAGTAGCTTCAAGCGACCCTTGTGCTGATTCTGTGAAAATTCCTGATTTAGCTGCCGGAAATGGCTTCCAGTGCGAGAACGCAGACCCAGGGCTTGAAGTTCATGTCGAGTGCCCGAACACCCAGAGACAGTGCCCGAGTTGGGACCCTGCATCTGAGGACGCAAACTTACACACTTTCAGAGCGAGCCCCGAAATGGGCGAGATAGTGTCTCTCGTCGCCCAAGAGAAAGGACTCAAACCGAGGGACCCTACCGCCTTCGGTTGGAATCCCCATCTGTACATTTTACACCCGAGCCCCACACTTGACCGCCCAACCGAAGCTTCCATGTGTAGGGACCTGAGGCTTGAAGTTAAGGGTCCTAGAGCTTTCCCACTTTAGAGTTCCCAAACAAGTCAAGTGCCCCAGCGGTCCCCACTCCGGTCCTTGATGCACTCTGCCACATCCACGAGACGGTCTGTCGCAGGATGTAGCAATGCAGGATACACTGCCTGATGAAAGTATGCGGGGCATGCTAGCACATCCCAACTTCTGAAAAAACATGGCAGTGAAATAAGCGTGGCGGACACAGAATGCGATTTTACAAGCAATTCCTTCACGTGAAGTCAATCTCAGCATGCTGCTAGCACGTTCAGAATGACCCGGCCCGGAATTACCACGGCCTGTCGCTTCGCGAGTTTGGAGTGGAATGAGGATTTGTCACTTTCTGGGCTCCGGGCCTCTACGTCGGTCTTGGCACGGACAGAGGCAGGCCGAGGAACAAGGGCTCCAATCAAACCTCGGTGCTCGTGAGCGCAGTACGACAGACAAGACGGACTCTTGGGCAGGGGGCTGATGTCGCCGATGATGGCACCGGCTCGAAGACGTCCCACCGTCTGGCAGGGGAGGTGCAGAAGATCACTTGAGACGAAACTCCCGAAACAGCCGCCAGCCTGCTGCTCCGCGGTGCCGTCGACCTCTTGAACCTGTAGAGACGACTGAGCTCCTATATGTCGTATATCACAGCACAAGAGTCTACACTGACGCCTTCTTGAGCACAGAGGCAACTCCATTCACAATGATAACCAATGCATCTGCATCCTGTGGTCGGTTCCGAGGAACGACGGAACTTCCGGAGGCGCTGAAGGCCGGGGGGTTGAAAGGCGAAGCTTTGGCTCCTCTCCGCTTTCACCCTCCACCACCACGTTCGAGCCCTTCGGAACGAAGCACCGTTTCGAGCCCTCGGCGAGGGTGTACACGGCCTCCACAAAACACAGCACGGCACATAGCCAGAGAACCATGGCAGGGCGGCACTAGCCTCGAAGGGTGCACCAGGGAAGACGGTCAGGATGAAACGGCTCATCATTTCCTGAGAGACGATCCACTGAGCTCTGCGGTGGAAGCGGCTCTGCTTGGGCCGCAGCCGTCCAGACGGAGGTCACTTCCTCGCCTCAAAAAACAATCCAAATCCAGAGTCGGCAGAAGCTCCGCATGCGGATAGTCCCTTTCCCTGCGAGCAAAAGGCAATTCATGCCAAAGTTCCCGAGCATCTTCATCGTCACTTCAGCCTGCCAAGGCGGCTTTGTACCCAAGTTTTCTTGTCCAGGGAGCATGCCTCCCCCAACTTACGATCGAGCATGTCTTGAATCTTCTGCAAAGGCCTCGTCTGGACAAGGCAGCACAAGCAAGTGAGCCTTCTGGTGGCAAAAGAGACACGAAGTCCAAGCTCCTAGCGGCAACGCCAGCACCTGGGCGGACTGTCGGGTCTCAGCCTCCTCAGGCTTTCCTGAAGCCCTGAGTCACGAGATCTGGGCTGTGGCTCCACCTGCTGGCAGGCCCGCACCAGCCTGTCTAACACTGGCGCTTTTATGGCCCTCCTGAAAGCTGCTGTTGCCTTCGCAGGATGTTCGCCGGCTGCTGCTCCGGTGACTGTCTGGCAGAGAGAGGCAATCCACCAAGATAACTGGAGAATTCCTACTGCACATATGCATTTACAGATACGAATGGATTTACATCTGCAAGCAGCTACAAACCTGTTGTAGAATAGCATATGCGTGCATACATCAATCCATGCATAAATACGCCACCTGCCCCAACCCCCACCCCACAACCCCTGCCAAAAGAGAACAACAGGTTTCGCATGTTTTGATGTCACATTCTTGAGGACAAGATGCATGTACATTCAGGGCTTAACCGCAGCTGTTGCGGCTGCTCTCAGATAAGGTAAGCCAGGTAAGCGGTATGCTGAATGATAACTATGCCCGTGCAGGTGCAGGGCTTGCGAGGCCGGTTGCAGTGAGCACACTTTACAATAAACCTTGGGTTTCGGATTCCGTGGTCTCGGAACGGAAGCACCACCAGACTCGGATTCGTGGCAAGGCTTTAGGGGCTGGGCGGTGAACAATGAGACGCATTCAACTGGATCGCATGGTATTGAAGTTCCATCCGGGATATTCAAGTTCAGCCCTGGGTGGCATCATTCAAGATCCAAGATGAGCGAAACTTCAATACTGGTGTAAAGGTGTGTATGCGTGCACATGGACCACCCGTCAAAGTTACATAGCTACTTGATACTGCATGACATTGAAAGGAACTTCGAAGGCGAGGAAGCGCGCTCAGGCCACCAGGCTGAGCCAGCCCTGTGCCATTGGAGGGTCAGTGCTCATCCTGCAGGAATACGGGCCTGAGACAGACGGTAATATACGGCATCATCAGATCCTTTACTTTGGACAAGCTCCCCACATGTGTTGAAGAAGGCCATGGTGATATCATCTGGCCCACTATACTCCTGCGTGCTGTACCTATGCTGCTGCCCTCGAATCGAAGAAGCATCCCAGTGGGTCCTCCGGCTGCTGTGGCGGGCCCCGAAAATCCACGTAGATGACAGGCGGTAATCCGCTGTAGCCTGCAGACACTCCCGTGTCATCTGATGCCACCCTGGGGCATCCACTCGAGACCCGGGCCGTGAACATCATAGCCTTGCTGTCGAGCTGCCCTTAGAAAGACACGGCCCAAAAAGCACAAAGTTACACCTGCTTCGGATTCGCCCCCTGCGCGCCAAAAACGGACTCGGCTTCCGTCTTCGGCCGCAAGGCCAGGCCGCCAGCTCCCAGCCGCTGCTTGAAGACCTTCCCCTCGTGTGAGCAAACACCACAAAAAACACCACTTGCTTTACACTTTGAAGCATCCATTGGTCCATTGCCAGCGCGGTCCTCGGCAAGCAGACGCAGGAAGCCGGCCCCGTTGATGAACTGGCCACGCCCTGCGTCGCTCCAAGCGTTGAAATTGAGGCATGGAGATGCGGTCGTGCAGCCGCAACCAAGGCGGCAGCCCTGAACCGAGATCTGCTTCTCGTCTCCCACCTGACGGACTCTGTACTCCACATGACATTTCTGCACTTTCTGTTCACCGCCTGGAAGCGAACGGCCCCCGTCTCCACAAGGTACAAGGAGCCACAGTCCGTGAGCTTCAAGACCTCGAGCCGCGCTTTCCGCTCCGCTCCGCTCCCGCTCCGCTCCCGCTCCTTTCGAGGCCTCCGAGCCTCGGCTCGGCCTTCTCGAAAAGTCTACGCGGAGTCACGGACGGCCGTGCAGAGGCAGCTTTGGCTCTGTGCGAGCCGTTCGGGTCACGGTTCCGGTGCTTGGCTGTCTCGTCGGTCGCGGCAAACGCTGTGGCTGTGAGATGAGCTGAGGCTCAAAGCCCGGTGCGCTGGGGCCAAGGCCTCACCAGGGGCCAAGAACTTCCGCTTCGAGTCTCGGAGAAGAACCTGTTACAAGGCGACACAGAACTCGCCTCTGCAACTGTGCTGAGACTCCCAAAACAGAGAGAGAAAGCGCAAAGGAGTGAGAGAAGCAAAGAGGCAAACAAAGCCCCTTCTTCATTCGCGGGCCGCTTCCAAGATCGCCCTTGAGGCCTCGAGGAACTCTGCGGCGCAGCCTTCGAAGAGCGGGCTCTGCTCCATGGCTCGAAGCCTTCGGCTAGGAAGGGCGCTCTTCGACTGTGGAAGCCCCGCACACTCCAGGGCTCGGACAGGGCGGAGAGTCGGTCCGGGTCCGGCTCCGGCTCCGGCGGCCGGCCCTGCAAAGAGCAGCGGCGAGCCGACCCAAGTGGCCCAAAGTGGCCCAAAGTGGCCCAAGCCCGAGCCCGCCGAGCCCGCGGCCAGCGAGACCTCTCCGGCATCCTGAGTGACACTCCGTGCAGCCTTTCCCTTGCGGTGCTTGGCGTTTGCGCTGCCCGCCTCCTCGGCTTCCAGCGCCTCCTTGAGTGCTTTCTGTGCGGACACGGGCGTCGGGAGGAACCGCTTGATGGCGGCGATGCGCTGCTTCGCCTATAGGGAGCACATCAACTGCGCTGCAAAGCCCGCGCCCAAGAACCTCGCGCTTCAGCTGAGGCTCGCACGAACTGAGTCACCTGCATGGCATCTCTGGAACCCGGTGTCTTTGGCGTCTTTGGTGTCTTGGGCGTCTTCGGCTTGTTCACCTTCTCTTCCTGTGAGATCTCTGCCCGACGTGGCCTCTTCATGCTGCCCGAAGCTCCTCATCCCGCTTGGTCTGGAGGTCCAGGTGGCTCGAGCTTTTGAAGACTCGGCTCTTGGACCTGAGAGCCGAGATCACTCGCTGCCGGCCGCTGGTGGCACGGCGCCCCCGAGGCTGCCGCACTTGAAGCCGGGAGCCCTCCATCTCAAGGCCTTGAAGGAGAGCTGTCACTGCTGTCACTGCCGTCACCTCAGGGAAACATTCCCAAAAAACGCCACCGCCCAAACTTCCCGGGACGGCGCCCTTCCTCCACGACGCAGATGCGAGGCTGGAGCTTCTCTCCCGGCGCGGCGCGAGAGGCCTCAGACGCAACAGCAACTGCGATCCTTGTGGGAAAAACGCACCGCCACGGCTCATCGCAAGCCCGCTGCCGGACCATCGCGCCGTGCAATGCCGTACTGCGCTGTGCTTTCTGACGGATGCTGTCCATTGCATTGGGTTCTGCGCTGGTGCGTCATGGGCTGTTACCTTGCACGTGTCACCGTATGAGTCCCACAGCCTTGGAAACGATAACTAAAGCACTGCAGCAGGGCGCTGAAGTGGGACATCCCCGTCACCGACGTCACGACATGAAATCACAATGCAGAAGACTAGACTTGGGCTTGCATGGCGGTCTTGTTTAAACAACGCACTGTTGCGTCACTGCTGAGACAAGCCGGACGGGCTTCAGAGCTCAGACTCATGGGACGGCCGTATCAGCCGTCGCCGAAATCAGGATGCTGGCGTCGGAACTCCGCTTCATGAACTGCAAATAGAAGAGCCTGAAAGAAGGCCTGTGGAATTTCCACCAAGCCCCTCTCCGATGCATCTGTTTTGGTCGATTGCGTCAAGGTGATGCTGCACTGCTGGCCATCCCAGTTGGCCCTGGCTGGCACAACAAAAAACTCAAACACAGGATCCTATTGGCAGATATAAACATAGAGACTGGTAGAAATCAAAGCTATAGTCACAAGTTTCGAGCATATTAAGATATCACATATTACAATACAGCGAACACCAATATGGAGCAACATGGAATGGTGAAACCTAATCATCCGACATCCAAAAAAGCCGAATAACACTGAAACACCAATCATAACAACATATACCATGGTATGATAGCGTTAATATGATAAAATGTACTAACATGTACCAAAATTGACAACAACGTTGTATAATATCAGATAGGGTAGTATAATGTATACGTTGTATAATACTTAAAAAATAACATAACGCAATGAAATAGAATTCAGTCTTACAAGTACATGTCATATTATAGCATAACACAAGGCAATAAAGCGTGATATGGAACCATGTGACCCTATATGATGTAGTATACTATGATGTGACAGAATGCAATCCCTTAGCTGAACAGAACAGCACAACTACCTAAACCCTAAACCCGAAACCCTAAACCCTAAACCCTAAACCGATATGGCAAGATAATAAGACTTAGTTGACTCGAAAAACATGAGATCATAAGATATAGCATAAGATAATATGACATGACATGACATAGCGTATCGTAACGCAAGGTGACAAAACATATTTTACTACACGTTACTGCATAAAACTGTTCTGTGCTATACAATAATTTACTGTACTATGGTATACTATGCTACATGTTACACGTAGTCGATTATATTATGCCATACTGCATAATCGCATGGTATATACCTTCAGTACATTACATTAGCCTATCGTACAACACAACGCAATGCGTGATATATCCTGTCTTAGCTTATCTTGCCACATCTTGCCTTATGTTGTATTGAATTCTTGTCTGTTCTGCTATATGATACTATGTTGCAACATGTTGCAGACTAGTATCTTATAGCAATATGCTATTTTAATGCAACTTAAAAGACTGGTACTGGGCTTGCGTGAGGATTCTGCATCGAACATTCGCTCCACTCACTGTGAGTTTTTGTATGTTGTCAATGAAGTTGATGATTGCGTAGCTCTGAACCCGGATCTCGCACAAGACGCCGTCCCTTGCAAAGCAACGCACTCACGCACTGTCTCTTGCTCTGCTGCGGTCTCGAAGCTTTGGAGAATCCGTGCAATGGGCAAGGCCTTGATGCTGTTCCAGATAACCCGGAGTAAGTGGAATGGCTTCGAGCTATTTTAGTGCGATGGTTGCATTGCAGCATAGCTGAGTATTCGGTAACAATCGCCTAGCTGTGCTGTCCCCAGAACATTCCTATACAAGCTTGGCAAGACACGGTAACATAGCTCATCATAGACGGTCGTCCGAATGGACAATGCTTCCGTGTCCGTTCACAGGGATATTGCTGCATACAGCCATATAGTATCAAGTTATGTTGTGCTATGATGGATTATAGATGTGCTATGTTATTTCATGCTACAACATAGTATAAGATGATGTGGTCATATCATATACAAAGTATAAGTGGCACAATATAACATAATATTTACTGGATACATCATGACATTAGCATATATACTAAACGAATAATGCAACATCAAACAGTGGAATCAACAGAATATCAATAGAAGCAATGGAATAAAATAGAAAAATAGAAGCTCATACGATAATACTATACTATGCTTTGCAAAAAGAGGCCAAGCTACGTTATGCTGTACAGTATTTTGCGATAGGATAGGATATGAGTTTTTGTTACCCTGCACCTCACCAGGTCGACCAGATCGAAGCCGCCCCGGGGCGTCGCCGCCGACGCAGCCGCTTTGTGGTCTCGGAAGTATCTGAGAAATCCTTGAGCACTGTTCGGGTCGCCCACGAAGAAGTATCGCGTCACGGAAGAGCGCCGCCCAGCTTTCTTCTTGAAGTAAGCTCCGGTTCTTAAGATGTTGCTGGCGAGGTCAAAACTCATGGCCTTGTCATCCGCGGTGTCGGGCAGATCCCGGCCGTTTGGCTTCCATGCGTTCACGAACTTGCGCTGATGATCCAAGGACCGCGAGGAGAGCGGCGCGGGCGCGGCGGGCGCGGCGGGCGAGCTCTCAGGCGGAGAGGCCGGCGCCAGCGCATCAAAAAGCGACGTCTGTGTGGCGCGGACGTCGCGGAGCCGTGCCGAGGCCGAGGCGGAAGCGGAAGCTCCCGTTGCGCTTGCAGGCGCGGCCGTCGCCGTGGCGGGATCGGTGTCCCTGACTTGGAGCTGTGCGTCTTGGGGCCCGGGCCTGGCAACCGTGAGGCTGGACTTGAGAGCAAGAGCCAAAGACTCCACTGCCCGATGCTGCGCCGCGGCGTCTCTGGCAGCTTCCGCTGCCGCGAGGCTCCTTGCTCTCTGCAGATCGACCTCGACACCACCTACACCTAAGAAAGACGCAACACCTAGACAAAGTCTGACACCAGATCCGAAGAAATCAAAATCATCAGTGATTGGGTGCACGTTTGTAAGAGCAGCCACTCGCGCTGGTACTGAATATGGTTGCAGCCCTTCCTAGCAAGAAATCGCAGCCACAACGGCGGTCGCATGTGAGCGACAGTGCCGCTAACGAGAAGAAAGAGATGCACCACTGCCACCTGCATCACAATCACCGTCGTCATCATCATCCTCGTCGTCGTCGAGTATCACCACAACATCGACATCACCGTCAGCTCATGTCACCGGCATCCAAAGCAAAGGTCTCCACAGAAAGTCTCGCGCCTCCTGGCGCTCGGCCCTGGCGGCGGCCTCCCGCAGGTCCTGCGCCTCCGCCGCTGCTGCCAAGGCCGACTGAGCCCCGGCTCGAGCCGTCTGAGCCTGCAAAAAGAGGGCCAAAGACCGCCGCTTCCACTTCGTCAGCCATCGCCCTCCCAAGTACCCTCCTGGCCTCGCCGTGCCTCAGCTTGACCTGCCAGAATGGCTTCATCTCTGGCGCTCTGGTGTGCTCTGTGCTCTGCTCAGTGCTCTGCTGGGGCCTCCATGCCACGGCTGGCCTCCAGCTCGGCTTCCAAGGTCTCGGCTCTTCTGCCGAAGGCCACCAGCTCCTCCCGACCTGGCTCCGAGAAAATCCTCGGACTGGGACTCAAACTTCACTTCTGAGCCGCTGGCACTTCTCTTCCATCTCCTCCTTAAGGCCACCAAGACTGCCCGTGTCCCGCATCTCCAACCTCAGGTTCTCCCTCCCTCGGCCTCTCTCAGGCAGAGGGTGTTTCGCTGCCGAGACGAGGGGCAGAGCGCGGCGCAGAGCCTGGGCCTCGGCCTCCAAGGAGTCCGCCCTCGCCGCGCCGATCCTGAGAGGCAGAGGCAGAGCAGGGCACAGCCACAGCAAGCAGAGGACTCTTCGAGGACTCTTGACTTGCGCTTGGCTTCTGGAGAACTCGATCCGCGGCCCGTGCTGCGGACTCCATCGCCTTCAGACGCTGGGAGCCTTCTCTGGAGCATTGAAAGAAGGACTCCGATAGCTCATGGAGCTCGGAGTACTCACGCTCGCGCTGATGTAGCTTGGCAACCAGGCTCTGGTAGTTGCTCAGCTTCATTTGCTTCCAGGCGCGAAACACCGTCGACAGAGAGCTGCCCACCAATGCTTTGATCGTGTTCTGTGCGGCCTGCTTCAATTTCCGTGCTTGACTTGTGCGACTTGCCTGGGATGAGCAGTTCTGCAACAGCATGTGAAAACTGCAACAAATGCCAGAGCGGCCTGGGTACCCATGCCTGCAGGTGGGGTCGCAAGAAAGATGTTGTGAGCTTCCCCATGGCTTCGGCCACCTGCAGCGCTGAAGCTGCCAGAGCTTGCCGCGCCCGCGCGCGGCTCTCTGCCATCAGCCGGCTCCGTGAGAGACGTCTCCAGGAGAACAGGACCCGCCGGACGAAGGACCCCTCGAAACACCTTAAGGGAATCTCCTTCTGTCTTCTGAAACTCGCGGAGGGGGAGCCTATGCAGTGCCCAGTAAAGGGCTACTACTTATTACTTCTTACACTGGGAAATCGGGGCCGAGGAGCGCGTGGCGGAGTTCGAGGACGCATCCTCGGAGTCGCTCCGCCTGCGCCTGCCGCGCCAAGGCCCTGAGCCGCAGCGATTTCAGCTCGGCCTCCGCTCCCCAACAAAAAACCCGCTCCCGCGCTCTCTGAAGGGACACTGAGAGAGAAGGCGTGTGTAGATGTATATATACATATACATACTTACATATATATATATATATATATATATGTATAGAGAGAGATAGATATATATATATATATATATATAATTGTATATATATATATATATATAACTACATATATATATATATATGTGTGTGTGTGTGTATGTACAAATATGTATATATATATATATATAAGCTTGTGTTTTTTTTCGGTGCCGTGTGGGCCTATACGGGGATCTATATACCGTACCTCAACCACTTCTGTCCGCTTTTGAGAGCACGGGCCCGCGGCCGGGCCTGCGTTCGGGTCAGCAGTTCCAGGGCCCGGTCGTGTCGGTCGAGCAAAAGGGTCTCCAGCCAGGCTCTGAAAGCTTCCTTCAAACCCTTCAGCCAGAACTTCCGCAGTGCCTGAGCCCTGCATTTTACGGCTTTCTTCCAGGCGGCAAAGCAAAACTTCAAGCCTTTCATCGCCTCTTCTTGCATGACCGCGAGCATGGTCAGGTGGCCCGAAGATTTGCCCATGACTTGGTTGAACATCAAAGCCGTACGCAAGCTGTCAATCTTCAAGTCCTCCTGCTGCGCATGAGCCAGTGCCCAAGCCAGAAACGCCAACCCGGCCAAGAAAGGATGCGGCACGACACAAACCCGGACAAGCTGATGCGCCGGAACTAGTGTAGGCTCCGCCTCGATATCAAAGACGACCTTGCAGATGCCTCTTTCACTGCTTGACAAAAAAGTTCCTGCATTCTGGGTCGATCTGTGCCGGCAGCGCATTCCGCGAAACAACTTTGCTGGCAGAGGCTTATCAACGAAGCACTGCAAAGATGCGATCAGGCTCCACAAGAACCGAGTCGAGCATTGTGTGCGCAACCATTTTCGTGAATTCGCGTCTCGTCGACTCCTCCCATAGTGACGGGCATCCCTGCTGACAGCATGCCACGCAGCAAAGAAACGGTCCAGTGTCAAATCAAACACAAAGCCGCGACGTGTCGCGCCGCCATCGGAAGCATTTGCCTTGCTTGCACCGGCTTGCGGTTCCTGGACCTTCTGCCGCAGTGCATGGACCCCCGCAGCTCTGTCGTCCATGCAACTCGGGACCCCGGCATCGTCGCGGACGTTCCATGTCAAACCCTTCTACCAATTACAAGATCAAGCTCAACAACTAGCCAATGCAACAGGTTCCATGTTCATGTTCTAGGAGTATGTATAGGCTGGCTGGGAAAAAACAACCCAACGTCACCGTGAACCTTGAGCCACATTAGACAGTTGAGAAACTCAAGCGTGAAACGGCATGGAGAGATGCACCCGCACGCCAGCGAAGCCCAGCCTGATGTCTCAGTCGTCATTGCACATTTTCACGAGCTCTGTATGCTCCAATTTAGCGGAATGGCAGTTGGAATTCGAGCTTACATGCTTGCCAGCGAAGGATTATGGACATTGAGGCACACATCGCATTGCCGTCGTAGCCACCTGATGAAGGGTCCTTCTTGAGCTTGCTCTTGTGCATCGCCATACGCAGCCTTGATAGTCGGGCTGTCTTCTGTGTCACATCAATCAGGGCGCACTACCCGGGAGTATGGAGATGGGGAGATGCACATGACACATGACGACTGGCAAGATGTTGGGTCCCTCATTCAACACGGGCTTTGACCATCCGCCGTCTGCCGAGAGAGCTTGACGCCCTGCAACATCCTGCAACTACTGCAGCTTCAGGGCCTGGGTCCTGTAGCATTTACCCAACCCCTGGCCGCACGAGAAAAACGATGCAGCTCCGACCTCCAGCCAGAGCCCCAATACATGCGGGCATGGAAAAGCCTCCGGGACAAAGCAAATCAAAAGCACCGTGATCGCATCTCGTGCTGGCATTTAGCATCAGAGAGTGTCACTGCAGTGAAGTTGTCTTTAGTTTTCTCAAATCTCCCCAGAATCCTGCTTCAAGGACTTATAGGGTTTAGGGCCTTGTTTAACACAACCCACTCCACAAACCACTGGGCTGGTACGTCGAATCCACCCCAACCCCCGTTCTCAACCCTGGACCATGCTGTCGAAGTCACCAAGCCGCTTCCGAAGTGAGGTCAGAAGTCGCCGCCGTGTCGTGTTCCATCGCGGCCGGCTTGCACTGCTCCGAAGCTCCAACACTGTGCTCACGCGAGAAGCTCGTTAGCTCGTCTTCAACACCCTCCCAGTAGCCAGAGCTCGGAGAATCCAAGGAGCTGCCCCTAGCGCAGCAAAGACAAAGAAGTTGGCCAAGCATAAAGCAATGCCGACAACGTCGAACATCCGCACAGGGTTCTCAATGCAATGAACTTTGCCCTGAAAATCCTGCATGTGAGCATCACAGCGTTTAACTCCGGGCTCACTCCCTGACAACAACTGATGAGGATTACCCTTGTAGGCAAAAGTTCCATTGAGAACAACGGCGTCTGCTTGGGCGATGCTTTTTCCATTCCAGTCTCTTTGGGCGGCACTGCGGCTGTAAGCTTCTATCTGTAGTTGAGCAGGTCTTGTTTGCCAACCCGATGATCCAAAGTTAAGTTGCCAAATGAAGAAGCCACTGATGCCGGCTGGATGTGATTCCGGCACAAGGACGTCTCTCAAGGATGCAAAGCGCCGTGGGAAGAAGAACTCGTCGATGTCCATCAAGGCGATCCAATGCGTCGACCTCTCCTTGGCGATATTCAGAACGGCAAATCTCCTCAAATCACAAAGTGGTCAAACCCGACAAGCAAATGGAAGTCGATCCATTCCTCAGTGCAAGGCGCGAACTTCAGTAATGACATAAGAAAATGATTACAAGGCCATCTCTATAGACTTTCTGCTCCATGGCACACACACACACACCGATTCTTGCCTTGCGCAGGCTCTTCTTTAACCCCTTTGCGTTTGCAGTGACTCAAGCCCAAGTGTCGAGCAAATAAACATCTTCCGGCGTGACCAAGTTGACCTCTGCCACCGCCGTCAGAAAGTGCTTGCGTGAGAAGCCTGGAGGCTTCTCGTACAAAGCCTTCCGCTCCGACCAAGGCAGTGCCCTTGCAGGGAAGCCATAGCTTCGCTATTCTCATGACCCAAATCTCACTGCGTAGCACTTCTCCGAAGTCCTCTACGTCTCCCACCCTCTCGCAACATCTATGCCTCCCTTCTCCGTCACCCCCTCATCACTCACGCTTTGACCTCTCTCCCCCCCGCACCTCGGCACGAAACGCCGGATGCGCTGCGGCGCCGCGCAGGCGGAGTTGATGTCATCCCTTAACCGGAACTCCACCTCCACGTCATGGCCATCCGCCTGGATGACCCAGCCCCTCCTCTCCGCGAACTCCTCGCGGCTCCTCAGCGCGAAGTGATGCATCTCGATCTCTGTGGGCACCGAGAAAGACATCAAGGCACAGCGCCGCTGGGACTCCGAGAAGCAGGCTCCGACCCACCAAAAAAGCCAGACAGAAAGCGAAGGGAGCGAGGAGCCCAGAAAGCCCACGAAGCCCAAAACTGTGTAGCAGCCCAAGACTGCGATACTCCATTTGCGCCGCGCAAAGCATTCCATGGCATCGAGCTTCTTCGGACCTCCAGAATCCAAAGCGGCGTGGCTTCCCGAGTGCCGAGTGCCCCGCAACAAGTTCACAGCTCTGCGTTTGGCAGTGTCTGGAAACACAAATTAAACCTTTGAAAACGTACGTAACATGTGCTTTCTGCAACACCTTGGGAAACGGTCTTGATGGTGCCACAGCAACCCGGGTCGAGCTTGGTGGACGTTCCCAACCCCTCCGAAACGTGCTTCTGCTTCGAAAGTCGGAAAGCATACAAGCCTTGAGAACGCACGAACGGCGCCCCCACGCAACTGTGGACCTAGCTCTATCGTTCCTATAGCAGTTTTGTTAAGTATTCTAGGAAGGGCAAACATGCCAAGACTGCGAAGGGTAACAACCGCGCTTCTACCTACGGGCGCCTACTGGTGCTCAACAGCAAGCGTCCCTCTTTTCGAAGCCTGATAAGGGCTGCGGCGCGCAGTGGTACGTACTGTGCAAACAGCAAGGGCAGCCTAGCTCAAGCCGTTGCGTGTTGGGTTAAAGGAAACCGTAATAAGGATTTTTCGCACCCCCCTCCAATGCCAAGGGGTTGGCGGAGTTCCCCGCACGGGCGGGGCCAGTCGCTCAGTCATCACGAACGAAGTGATGCTGACGGCAGTGTTAGCAGATAGGAATCTGCCGAGCCCACCCGCGGATCTCACCACAGGTTGGGAACACATGTGGTGTGTAGTTGTCCCTACGACGAGGAAGTGCGCACTGTCCTCGTGCCTCGTTCCTATGATCATCCCGCCCCAGCAGGTGAGGCAAAGATTTTCGGTGATGATGTCGCTTGGCATTGGTCGTACTGAGGCCAGTCCCACACAGTTCCTGTAGAGGTGAACCGTGCGTCGTGTGGGAGCGTAGTACAGTTCACCGAAGTTATGCTGCGGTACTGGCGGTAGGCGTGGTCCCGGCTGTTGCCGGCGACGCCTTGCCCGAAGAATCCCCACATTGTAGTTCTGCGGGGTGCCGCTACAGGCGGTGCGGCCGCGCTCGCGGCGCTGCCCGCATCCCCATCGTGAGGCTCCGGCTCGGGAGCTGGTGGTCGAAGGTCTTGTGGCTGCCTTGCCCGCGCCGGTGTGCGGATGAGGCCAGAAGCACACGCCTTGCTCGAGGTCACGGCACTGCAGAAAGGTTGCACGATGCGCACCTTTGATATATTTGCTGCGTTGCTCATCGGGCAAGATCGTGGTGCCAAGGAGGAAAAGTGGGTCTACATGAGACCGCCTCCTGAATGGCGGCCCATTTGGGAAGAGTGGGTGCGGGAACACCCGCCGGCAGGCCACACCCTCACAGCTGTGGTGACGCCACCTATCCCGCTGTGGTGGACGTCGGCGTTGGGACGAAGACCCTTAGGTCCTGCTCTTGTCCTGCCGTGTACGCCCTCTTCACGTCGGCGCACGTAATATGCAGCCAGGACCACACGCAGTCCCTGAGACGGCAGGACTTCGTGGGGGCAGTCCCGCGCATTGAAGGAAACTGGACCGGATGCCACAGGAAGCACAGCCAGCGATGCAGCGGGCAAGAGCAGCTCACTATCAGGGTGAGCTACAGCCTCAAACACACGAAGTTCGCCCCCAGAGAAGCAAGACAATGGAATCAGAATGTTGGGGGCACAAGCATTTAGGCGGTCCTGGTGTGTCGGAGAATGCACACCTGAGATGATCACAAAACTGGAAAAGAAGTAATCAGGGGCCAGAGCGCGAATGAGTCGGTTGACTGTTCTGACCGAAGCGGGATGAGAGAGGCAGAGTTTACGGGCCCCAGGCTTGAACCGGAAAAAAAGACCAGCCGACACAGATTTGCCAGATTCGAACCGGTCGTCCAAGTCCGGAGATTCCCGAAGGAGTGCCTCAGCCAGGCGCAAAATGTCTGAGCACGTGGGAACAGACTCGCCTTCCAAAAGATGCAGGGCCACCTCCTCGGCCGTAGGAAGGGAGGGAGCGGCAAAATCGGGTGGAGCAGCAGCCTCATCAGGAGGGGCACGCACAGAGATGGAAGATAGTCAATGCGGGGCCGAGCATGATCGGCCGCGCGATGGGGCTTGCCACATGGAGTATTGTTACCCATCAGAATGGGGCAGTTGTGCGAAAAGCGGCAGGATTTATTCCTGCACTTATCAGTGTGAAAGCGAATGCAAGGGCCTTTGCCATCAACTGTGCGAGCCCATGATGTAGGCCACGATTTGAGAGAGACCTTCGATGCAGCCTCCTTCTTTGATGTAGCCTTCGCCTTCGCCTTACCTGGTCGGGGTTGCTTATGCGGTGGTGGAGGCGGCAACGCAGGCTGTTTCCGCTTGTTGGCACCCGATGCAGCAGGAGGAATATAGGGGGCGTCGCCGGTTTCAATCGCGGCGCCAATGCAGTGTACACGTCCGGGCGCGCGAATATCATTTCCGCAAGGGCGTCCGTCAGCGACCACCCCTGGTCGGCCTGAATGGAGGCAACGCCGATCCAAAGTGCGCGATCGGCAATCTCCTGCAGTGATGGAGGCCGCGTGTTGCGATCCGACGGCACCGCTAGGCACGCGACCTGAACAGCCGCAAGCTGAAGAGCAACCCAGTGCACCACAGGCAAAGGGAATAAGGCCCAGGCCCGAGCAGGAAGATGACAGCAATGTCATCAAACCTGATGCAAGGCTCTTCAGAGCAGACGGTAGTATCGCACCACAGGCGAGAAGACCGAGTCCACGACGTGATGGAGGGAGCAGAGGTGTACAGTGGTACAACCTCTACCCCAATCCCCAATCTCTCCCACACCTCCCCCCCCCCAGCCCAGCAGAGGCTAGAGCATGAAAGGAGAGCGCAGAAATGTATGCAATGGTGCTTCACGGCAAGTGAATGTACACCTGCGACACCAACGTGCGAATGCAATAATGCAACGACGGCTGTTTTGCGCCAAAGCCAGGGCAGTCGGAGACACAACAGACGGTGCCCCGCGTGGTTCAAGCTGCGACGGACGAGGAAAAGACCCCGTCAAAATGCAGCGATTCCGATGTAGATAAGTAATCATCTACCGAGACCACCAGTCACCATGGGAATCCCAAGATGCATCCCAAGCGTCCCACGACCATGAGTCCCATGTCCAGGAGGATGTAGAGGACCTAGAGGGCCAGCCGTGCCAAGGATCCTGGTCGGATGTAGCCGGGGCCGCTGGCGTAGATTCCGCCGGGGCTGCCGGTGTAGTGGTCGATGAAGACTGTGGCCGGCTCAGACGGTAACACTCCTTACAAAGGTGGGGCGTAGATGTAGAAGTGAAGTGAGTATCTCCCGGAAGCTCTGATGCATAACCGCAGAGCGCGGAAAAGCAACGGGAGCAAGTCTCACGACAGCACACAAGCTGGCGTGTGCTGATTTTACACTTGATCTGAGCCACCTGAGCAGGGTCTAAGAATGTAGGGGCCGACACCTGCTGAATGCCCTTCTTTGTCGTGGCCGACGATGTACGACCACCCGCAGCAGCATCCTGAGTGTTACCAGATGCAGCATCAGTCGGAGGCTTGGATGTAGACGAGGCAGGAACATCTTGCGAACCAGAGGGGGCGGATGCATCCGTAGAAGCAGGCGCCGCAGGTGCAGCGTCCGAACCAGAGGGAGCGGATGCATCAGTAGATGCAGCACCCCCAGGCGCAGTATCGGATGTAGACCCCGACCCAGCCTTCGATGCAGGTGGAGGCTCATGAATGGCCGTAGAAACGGCATACAAAAGTTTGCTGCGACCACTGGCAGGTCCGGAACGAATGAAGGCCGTGAGCTGGTTCCCGTCGGTCTGATAAATCCAGGCCAGTCCATCCTTCAATTCGGACGGAGTACGAACGTTCTCAGCCAGCGGAAGGGATGCAGCACCAGAAACCTTATCAGCATGGGACGACATTGCAAGGGAATGAAGAACCTCGCAGATAGGAGAGGCCTGCAGCTCATGCACATGCAGCAACGCATAACAATCACAACCGAACGTGCAAAGTGCAAGGAAGTGAAAAAAGAAAATGCATGCAGTCGATAGCGCGAAATGCATGTGCATAAAACGGCACACCGGCCGGGCATAGACCAAACACAAATGTAAGTTTACATATACCCCGAGCCGCGCCTGTGTTCTTTAAACACTTGCAATCATTCAGGCCCCTATATTATCCTAAACCCAAAACTCTAAAGCTCACAAAATATTCTTAGGCTCACGTGTAGGTTTGTCGTTGTCATCGTCCTCGCGGCGGCGGCTGCTACTATCGTCCTTGCCTCCCTTGCGGCGGCGGGCGCCGTCGTCGTCATCGTCCTTGCGGCGGCGCTTTAGGGTTTTGCGATGAATATGCTCTTTTGGGCCTCTAATAAGGTCAGCTACAGCCTATAGAGTCCCAATTCAGTAGATTAGGTCACACTGAAATCATCTTAAGGACATCTCAGAAGTACAAAACTACCGGCAAACTAGTTACGCTACGCAGCTATGCGAGTTAAACGATGTGGTAGTGAACCGTCATGGTACAGTTGCAAGAAAAGCTTCTCCATTCTCTCATCACCATACCCTTCCGCAGACCCGGTCCTGGACTGCAACAGGATCTTCAGCCCACCAGCCCAGCCCAGCCCACCGCACGTCTTCTCGGCTCCGGATGGCCCCGGCCCGACTTGCGAGGCACAGACAGACGGTCGTCAGCACATGTCGACACATGAATCCGGCAGTCCTGGAGAATGCAAACACACGTCGAAACAGGCTCAAGCTCGGGCCCAGCATGACGGCCAGAAGTCCAACATGGATCTTGCTTTTGGCCGGCGCAGAGAACTTTTCGCATGTTCTGAGACTGAAGCGATTGGGTGATGCCAGATGATCAACGGGTACGGAATGTAATATGAACGGTTTGTTGATGCTCAGCATAAATGATGGTGTTGCGCGTATTCTGTTCGTAGAGAAGTGTTAAGTCGTAAATCTTCAACGACGATCAGAATTGATAAGTCATCGATAAAACTTGTCGCAACGAGAGATCGCTCTTCTTCCTTCCGGCAACTTGGCAGCGATGACGCTACTTGCAGGAACGACCGCAGCCGCCTTCGTGCTATATGCAGCCCGTGCCCTGTGGACACTTTGGACCCAGGAGGAGACGTCCAGAATGTGCAAGGAATCAAGCATTTGCCCGAGGTGATGATCGCTACGAAGAAAGGAAAGAAGTACCACCGCAGGACTAAGGAATTTGGTCCGTGCAGCGACTGCTTCCCGAAAAAGAACCTGCACAAGGAAACGTAAGGAAAACGAAGTGCCGCTTCACAGCAGCGTTTACAACACCGCTGTGTGGAGCAATTCTGGGATGCCTCGCAACTTTCTGCGGGATGATGATGATCCAAGGAACCAGTGGACAGGAACAGCGGCAGGCCCTTGACAATATGAACTACAAGATCGAGGAATGCGCTTGGAGAAGTTCACGCCTCCAAGGAAGAGAAGAAAAGGGAAGCGAAAGGAACGAAAAGAGAGTGACGAGAAGGAACGACGAAGAGCGACGAGACGGAGCTGACGGCAACGTCGGCGAGCAGGTCAACCAATACGCACCAGAGCATAAACCGTTGCGCAACTCTCACATGCTGAAGACTTTGGAGCACTAGATTCAGCAACGCCATTTGCTGTCACTTTCTTCCACTACGCTCAACATCTCAGAACCCAGCTAGACTAGCAATCGTCCATTATCACCCGAACCCGAAACCACGTAGCGTAAGCCACCATGCATTTTGCCGCCTACTTCAGTCTAAGTCTTACCCTACGTTAGTTACACAATCTCGCTCACCAAAGCTTCTGCTGCATGCTTAATTCTGTAAAATAAGAAGAGCCTGTTGGTTATGGCCTTCACATGCCTTCACACACCAGATCGAAATCGTCATACGCTGAAAACTCTTGAGCATCACGTCGCTTCATAAGGTCAGCGACCCCAACTGGCTTCATTTTGCTCAGCTACGCGCAATATCTCAGTGCCCAGATAGGCAACAGCACAACCGTCCAGTAGCAGCCAAACCCGAAAATCACGTAGCGTAAGCCACCATGTATTTTGTTGCTTACTTGAGTCTATAGGTCTTAAACCCTGAACTACCCAGTCTCGGTTACCAAAGCTTCCATTGCAATGAGAAGAGCCGAAGAGCCTTCATCAGAGCCGTCAGAAACCCGCTCGTAATCATCATGCGCTGGAGAAGCTTGAGCACCACATCGCTTCATAAGGTCGGCGACACCGATTGGTCTCACTTTGTTCACCTAGACTGGCTATCGTCCATCAGTACCGAAACCCGAAAATCACGTAGCATAGGACCCTTTAAACCCGAAAACTTTGCTGTCTCGGTCGCCACAGCTTCCGCTGTATACTTAACATAAGAGTACCTTATCGGCCAGAGTTTACATAAACTGTTTCGTGATGAACATCTGCTGATGTTTCAAAACATCAGCGACACCGATCGGTCTCAATCTGTTCAACTACTCTCAACATCTCAGCGCCCAGCTAGACTAGATATCGTCCGTCACTACCGAAGCTGGAACCTGACATGATTTACGTTTAAACATGAAATCATGTTAGGCACCATGTCTTTTGTTGCTTACTCAAGTCTACATCTTAAACCACCACAGTAAAGCAAAATTAACCGTAATTAACCAGCCTCGGTCACCAAAGCTTGCAATGCATACTTAACATAAAGAGCCTTATCGAGTAAAGCTTACGTAAACCGTTTCGCAACCCTCATATGCTGAAGACTCTGGAGCACCACGTCGTATCAAAATTCCAGCAACACCAATTGCTTTCACTCTCTTCAACTACGCTCCACATCTCAGCACCCAGCTAGACCAGCAATCGTCCATTCTCACGCAGACCATGTCGCGTAAGCCACCAAGTGAAGGGCGCCTACTTCAGTCTAGGCTAGGTCTTACCCTACATTAATTACACAGTCTCGCTCACCAAAGCTTCTGCTGCATATTTATTTCTGTAATATAAGAAGAGCCTATTGAATGAGCCTTCACAAGCCTTCACACACCATGTCGAAATCGTCATGCGCTGAAAACTCTTGAGCATCACGTCGCTTCCAAAGGTCAGCGACCCCAATTGGCTCCATTTGTTCAGCTACGCTCAACATCTCAGTGCCCACATAAGCAACGGCAACCGTCCATTAGCATCCAAACCCGAAATCACGTAGCGTAAGCCATCATGCAATTTGTTGCTTACTTGAGTCTAGGTCTTTAACCCTACAGCACCCAGTCTCCATCACCAAAGCTTCCATTGAATACTTAAATCAGAAGAGCCTTCCGATTAAAGCCTTCAGAAACCCACTTGCAATCATCATACGCGGAAGACTTTGGAGCGCCACATCGTGTCATAAGGTCGGCGACACCGACTGGTCTCACTTTGTTCAACTACGCTCAACATCTTTGCACCAAGTTAGACTAGCCATCAGTACCGAAACCCTGCAATAACATAGTGTGTGACCCTTTAAACTCAAAAACTTTGCTGTCTCGGTCGCCAAAGCTTTACACAAACCGTTTCGCGACCATCCTCTGCTGACGTTTCAAGAAATCAGCGACAC